TTCTTCCATCCTTCATCTAGTATTCATAGATTTTATGTTTAAAAATGATATTTTGATTATTGTTATGACCATGAGTGGCTAAGAACCTCATTATTCTGGGGTTATGGGTCGTTCTTGACTATTGTAATTTGACGGTTGATTGTTTTGCTTGATTTTATCATATTAATTTGTTTATTCAATCTTGCACTTAATTATTCTATTGCATAGCTAACAATAGAGTAGTATCTATGAATTTATAGTTGAACTCGAAAGCGGGAACTATAGATTGCATATAGGATTGAGTAGATAAGTTCTTGAATCCGGGCATCGGAGAATATATTCGCGATTAGGATAGACATAATCTAGTTGCCTTACTTGGTTATTTTTGCATGAAATATATATGCATTCTTGTCAAGTTTGATTCTGTAGACATATAGTCTTAGGTTGGAGGTTTCGAGTGATTTTAAAAAAATTAAAAAACTAATGTTTGGAAGTTTCAAGTGATTTAAAAAATTGATTTTTAAAATCTAAAAACAATTCTGCAAAAACTTCAAAAAAGTTTCATAAACCAAGTTTGCGGAAAATGTTTTCCAAAAAAAAAACTGCGTTTTAGAAAAACTAAAACAACGCCACTAAGGCCATCTCCAACCCTCCCTCATTTCTCCATAATGGGGATAACTTTTGCCATAATGGAGCTCCAACGCTCCCCCATTTTTGCCCCCAAAATGGGGGATGAATAGTGTTCCTCCAAATATGGGGGACACTATTTATCTCCCCATTACTATTCATGCTTTTTTTTTATTTTTTTATTATTTAACTCTTTTAATTTATCCCTTTATATATACCTAATTATGTTTATGTAATATCTTCATAATATTAATTTTACATATTAACTTTGGTGTATCTTTTAGATAATTAATTTCGTGCTATTTATTATTTTNACTAACATAGACCAGAACTTATGAGAACAAAAAGAAAAAAGAAAAGAATAATAGAAATGAGAAGAGGAACTTACGGATTTTCGGACTCCACAAGAAATGCCCTTCAAAATTGATTTCCAGTTAATATTATATGTTTATTTCGTCAAAAAAAGGCCTATAATATTAACTAGAACTCACTCGACTTTGAAAATTCCCAAAACAGACTCGAAACCCAGGAACCCTAGATTTAAAATCCGTTCAGTTTCACTTAGATTCGAGGGATTTTGGTTAGGGATTCGAAACGAGGGTGCTTAAGAGACTGTGGGGTGTAATTTTAGGCGGATTTGGGAGGATTAGGGTTTTGGGTCTAAACTTCAAATGAAGATTCGAAGGGGTGGGGACTGATTCGAGGGAAAGCGGAGTTGGATATGGAATGAGGGGGTTGAGAGGAAGTCGGGGTGTTAATTTAGGGTGATTTGGAGCATCGCCGCCGTAGGCGGCGGAGGCGGTGACTAGTATTTCGAAGATTTGAGGGGTTTGGATGGGAATCGAAGAAAACTAATCCCAGATTGGGAATGAGGAGAGGGAGGAGGTGCTGTGGTGTGATTTTGGGTGAGTTTGGAGACGGGCCGCCGCCGGCGACGATTCCGGCCGACGGCGTTAGGTTAGAGGCTTTGAGGGTTTGGAGACGATGATGGAGGGGGAGGGGGGGTAGGTCGGATCCGACATTTAAATACTTCAAACCTAGGCAGTTCTAATCCGTTGGATCAAAAGAATCAATGGCTGTGATCAACACTTGGGAAACGACATCGTTTCGATGGTCTCTGAACCGGACTGGGTCGGGGATTTGGGCTGGACGGGGTGTGTTTGGTTTGGGCCAGACGTTAAAGGTGGCCCAATTCGTGAGTCTCTATTAAGGCAGCCCTATTATTTGTTTTCTTTTATTTCTTTTTGTTTTGTTTTCATTTTGTATTTTTTTTATTTTATTAAATGCTAAATTAAAACTCAAAACCCAAATTGACTAAAAATTATATTTCCTAATTTCCAACTACACTAACTCCTAATTTAAATGCAAGCTAAGACAAATTAATACTATAAATGCAAAAAGAACCATTTTTGTTATTTTCTTTATTTTTTTTCAAACACATTAACTGATAATTAATCCTAAAAATGTAAGATTAAATCCTAAACAAATGCCAAGTGTATTTTTTATATTTTCATATGAATTAAAGTGCACAAATTAAATGCAAACAATTAACAGAAAATAACACAAAAATTCATAAAATTGCAAAATAATGAAAGAAATCATTTTGTTTGAATTTTTTTCATATAGGGCAACAATCACGTGCTCACAGCTGCCCCTCTTTGCCCGGAAACACGTAGAGTTTTCGTGCAAAGATAACTGAGCAAATACGAGCGATTTTTTGCCCGTTTGACTATTCCGTGTGAAGCATTTTGAAAGAGTTGACCGCACCCTTCTTCGGAGGTTGCTTACATATCCTTGGCTAAAAAGGAATCAGGTCAGTGTTGTTCGGGAAGGTTTGTTAGCTGGGACTACCAGGAGCTGTGAATTTCACTGCTGTTGCTGCTGCTACTGCTTGCTGACCTCCTTGTTACACCAAAAGGAAAATCAAAGCTAAGCTAGCTATACCTATCAACTATGAGTTACAAGATTCCTATCTATAATTCTCTTGAAGCTTGATCTTGAGTCTTAGCTGAGTTGGCTGTGGACTTCGATCAGAATCTTGATGCTCGCAAGTTGTAGGTGTTTACTTCTTCAGGTAGCATTGGGTCAAAAACATGATCAGCGGAGCTTGTGACTTCAATCAGATTTTGAGCAATCCGCACCTTTGCCTGCTTCACTTTTGAGCTCATTTCTTTTGTTCTTTTGTTCTTTTCTTGATTCTAGATTGAGACTTATTCCATTGGTCATCTCGCACCTTGTGTCTTGGGGTCGGCCTGCTTAAGATACCAAAACAAACAAACGAATGAAATTTTCTGCCCCAGTTTTCACTAGGAAAATTTCGTGAGTTAAATGTGACACATATCTAAGCGATCAAATCCGGATTGTGTATCCTTGTGAATGGATCCAGGTTATGCTGGAAAATGAAAAGGGTCTCGGGTTAGGCCGGGACGAAAAGAAAAAGGCTCCTTGGGTTATGCTAGGGAGATCCTCGGTTTTTGGCCGGGATTTGGAAAGAAAAAGCTCCTTGGATTATGCCAGGGAGATCCTCGGTTTTTGGAAATAAAAAGCTCATTGGGTTATGCCAGGGAGATCCTCGGTTTTTTGGTCGGGATTTGGAAAGAAAAGGCTCCTTGGGTTATGCCAGGGAGATCCTCAGTTTTTTGGCCGGGATTTGGAAAGAAGATCCTCAGTTTTTTGGCCGGGATTTGGAAAGAAAAAGCTCCTTGGGTTATGCCAGGGAGATCCTCGATTTTTTGGCCGGAATTTGGAAAGAAAAAGCTCCTTGGGTTATGCCAGGGAGATCCTCGGTTTTTTGGCCGGGATTTGGAAAGAAAAAGCTCCTTGGGTTATGCNCTAAAATTGAAATGTGCGAATATAAAATATTAGATGTTGCTAAAATTGAAAAGTAAAAATTGAAAATACATTAAAATTGGAAATACATGAAAATTAAAAATACATTAAATTAAAATACATAAAAATTGAAACTACAAATAGCATAATAACTTAGTAGGGATGTATGTCGTTTTCAAATACACCAAAATCATTATAGTATTGAGTGAATTGGGCCGAGGATTGTTGTGGTTGTGATTGTGGATATTATTGACTTTTTTTATATATTATTCGTTGTTGTTCTTGTCGCATAAATTCACGATGAGTCGGATCGACAATAGAATCCACATCCATCATTAAAACTTTATTTTCTTCTTTCATTTCTTTTACTCTTAGTTTTTCTTTTTGAACAGTCAAAACTTCTTCTTTTTTCCGCCTTGGTTGCATTATTCATAGCCTTAACCATCCGATTATTTTTTGATTGGACTATCTTCATATAATCTTCGTCAATTTTTCTCTTCATTTTTGCTTTCTTTACCTGACTAGGCCGTTGTGATGATGTTGCAGGACCGTCACATTTTTGGCAAAAAGAAGTGCTACATGATATAATGACTACATGTATTATACTGCACAACATGATAATGGAGAATGAACGTGATCTTAATGCACCAATTCAAGATGATTTGGAAGGTCCACCTCCAACGGTAGAAATGGCAGTAAATGAAAATCAACGATTTCAAGAATTTTTAGCTCGACCTAAAAGAATTAAGGACAAAGATGCTGATTTTGCACTTCGTAATGCATTAATAGATCATTTATGGGAGAATACTAGAGGTTGAAGTTGAATATTTATGTAGTATTTCGAATGAATTTTATCGTTATGTAATATGTATTTAATTAATCTTGTATCGTAATGATTTCACTTTTATTTGAATTATTAGTTAATCTATAATAATTGCTTACAATTTATATTATTTAAAATTTTATGGAATTATTTTAATGGAAATTACAAATTAATGAAAATAAAAAATAGAATTTGTTTAATGGAAATTAAAAAATAAAATTAACATGAAAGATAATAATATAATATAGAAGAGAGAGAACATAAAAAAGAATATTCTCTTTTGGGGGAAAACATGGGGGAATAGTTGGAGTAAGTTATCCCCAAAATAGGGAAATCTCCATTTTGAAGATCAAAATAGGGGTAAAGGTTGGAGATGCCCTAAGCCTTTGAAAAGTTGTCATTTCTCCTTAAAGAATTTTGTTCAATGGACGAACATATTAGTTGAAAATATTTGTTGGACTTTGCCTAATAATAATAATAATAATAATAATAATAATAATAATAATAATAGTAGTCAAGCACAACATGGTCAACACGGGTATTTGCCTTTCCATATTTCTAAGTCTTTCCATATTTTTAAAGTAGACAAAGGTCAATTTCCACGTTCCTCATAAAGATGCTTATATTCTATAATTAGCACCAAAAGGAAGATTCCAAGGACTGTTTCCATACTTACGCCGTTGAATTGCATTCCAAGAAAGTCACCTATTGGACTACTATATAAATACCCAAATGCCTTTCTCCCTTTCACTCCAAGCAATTACCAAAGAACTAAGTCATAATTTTTCCCTCATTAATTCTTTCTAGTTTTTCTTGTTCATTTTTCCCAAAATGGTTCTCTCGAAAACCTCCTCTGAGTCGGACGTTTCCGTACACTCCACTTTTGCCTCTCGCTATGTTCGAACTTCCCTTCCAAGGTAAATATCATAACGTCTTACTAACTTACACAATATGTGTGGTTGCATACTTAGAATTTTGCACAACCAAATATCAGTCTATTGTTATTATTTATCTTGATCTAGAACTATAGTGGTTTTAAAACTTTAATTCGTATCTCAAATTATATTCGTTATTTATTATTTTCAAACGGTGTAAGGCTATTTTGTATATATACATATTGGTTTTTAGAAGAAAAAAAATATATGTCTATGCACATATATAAGAAATATTTTACAAACATGTCGGACAACCGACATGACTATCTCTGTTACTAAACATGTGCAAGTTACTCTGTTGCTCGATCGCTTCGTAAAGCTCTCTGGTTGTTACTTCACGTGCTTAATTCAGACTGTTTTAAATTTTCTTAGCTCAAAAAATTGTAGATTAAAATTTTCATGTTTAATCTCTTTTAGTACAAAGTAATATATTTGTGTTTTTAGGTTTGAGATGGCGGAGAATTCGATACCAAAAGAGGCAGCATTCCAAATAATTAACGACGAGCTGATGCTAGATGGGAATCCAAGGCTGAACTTGGCTTCATTTGTGACAACATGGATGGAGCCAGAGTGTGATAAGCTTATGATGGACTCCATTAACAAGAACTATGTTGACATGGATGAATACCCTGTTACCACTGAGCTTCAGGCAATTTCTCTTCTCATCTCGATACAATATGATTTGTATGTGTTTTTCTTTTTATAAACATGCAGGATTTTCGCTAAAGGGGTTAAAAATAAACCCACGAAATAGCCAAGAGTGTTAATATGTAGTATATATACATATTTAAAAAAATCACCTTGCTTGTCTTTTCTGTGTTCTCTTTTCCTTTCCCTGGTATCCAAATCATGAAGTTATTGATAAGAAAAAGGTTTAAAAGTGGGGTCAAAGTGTCAATAACAGAACTTACGATGGCATTTTATAAGTTTGACCCAAAACGCGGAAAAACTGACGGCCTTTGCTTTTGGAATAATCATTTGGCCATCCATATTTGGTACTACTTCGTAATATCTAAAGCAAGGGCCTCCCTTTTTTATTCTATTGATTCACGTTCCTGATTTAATCACCACACTTTTGCAAATTAGAATTCAGAATATTAATCCAATATTACTGCCTTTTACTATCCAAATGATATTCTAAGGAAAAAATAAAGAATTATGCTCCTTCAGTTTTCATTAACAAATTAATACTCCTGATAAGATAGGATAGCTTCTCTGAACAGATGATGAAAGAATGAAAATGGATGCAACTTCAAATCATTTATCTTTGTATATATTATATGACACAAAAGTAAAATGGGTAAAAAAAATACTAATGACCAATAATCAATGAAATAGTTTATTAGGACACTAATTAACAACAACAACAACATAATACCCAGTAATATCCCACGCCGTGGGGTCTGGGGAGGACAGTGTGTACACAGACCTGAAGATAGAGAGGCTGTTTCCAATGTACCCTCGGCTTAGAAATTAAAAGTATAAGCACCACAATTAGGACTAATTACTTTAGTTTATTTGTTTTATTATTATGAAAAAGCTCGACATTTGAAAAAATAAATAAATTGCAGAATCGGTGCGTGAACATGATAGCACGTTTATTCAACGCGCCACTAGAAGAGGAGGAGACAGCAATTGGAGTGGGAACAGTTGGTTCATCAGAGGCCATAATGCTAGCAGGGCTTGCATTCAAGAGAAATTGGCAAAACAAACGCAAAGCTGAGGGAAAACCTTATGATAAGCCCAACATTGTCACTGGTGCCAATGTTCAGGTATCCTATTCCTCCTTTTTATACATGGCAAATATTTAATTTGAACTTATTCTTTTATCTTTAATGACAGAATTTATAAAGTAATTAGTCTCAAATATTTGTTATTTTAAAAAATCAATATAGAGTAGTATTATTTTTCACCTTTACCCTTACTTTAATAGATGCGGAGAGAGATTTTTGTAGTGAAATGAAGAGTAGTATTAAATCGAAATTTAAGAATAATTAAGTCAAATTACATTTTAATTAATCTTTATTTAAAAGGCTTGGAAAAGGCTAACATGATAATTAAAAGGAACTGTAGGGAGTATAGCTTGTTTAGGACCATACGTTTCAAAAGTTTTACAGTCACACAAATATAATAACATATTTAAGATCACAAATTTTAAAATTTTCATTTATTGTCTAAATTCTATGCCCAGTCAAATTATGCTATATTAATTGAAAAAAAAAAGGAAGTATATGTTCTTATTTTTTTTAAAAAAAATTAAAAAATATATAACTCGAGGAAAATGCACTGGACCAGCACCTAGAATGCACACAAACATTTCAAGAACATGTTATATTTTTGTGTGCCTATTTGTAGGTGTGCTGGGAGAAATTTGCGAATTATTTTGAAGTGGAACTGAAAGAAGTGAAGCTAAGGGAAGGGTACTATGTAATGGACCCAGTCCAGGCTGTAGAGATGGTTGATGAGAACACTATTTGTGTTGCTGCAATCTTGGGTTCAACTCTTAACGGAGAATTTGAAGATGTCAAGCTCTTGAATGATCTTCTCATTGAAAAGAACAAGCAAACTGGGTAAAGTAGATCTACCCTCTAATAATTGATACTTTCTCATATTTTTCTTTTTAGTCTATTAAAAACTCGTATTTTGATAGGGAGATAAGGCAACAAGTAGCAAACAATAGTAACAACAATAGATTAAGGTAACATGCACTAATGACACAACATGTAATAGTAAAGAATCATGAATAAGATAATACAAAAATAGTCATAGTACTATTGGTAAGCCTAGGATGAACACACTACTGTCAACCTTCAACCCAAATTCTCGACCTCCACTAGAAAGGCAAAAAAAAAAAAAAAAAGGACTGTCTACACTGAATATGCAAAAGGTGAAAATTATTTTTACAACAAAAAAGAATAAACAATTTTTTCTTTTCTTTTTGGCAGATGGAACACACCAATTCATGTGGATGCAGCAAGTGGTGGATTCATTGCTCCATTCCTGTACCCAGAGTTGGAATGGGACTTTAGGCTTCCCTTAGTGAAGAGCATAAATGTGAGTGGGCACAAGTATGGGCTTGTCTATGCTGGTATTGGTTGGGTTATTTGGAGGACCAAACAAGATTTGCCTGAAGAACTCATTTTCCACATCAACTATCTTGGAGCTGATCAGCCCACCTTTACTCTCAATTTCTCCAAAGGTAAATTAGTACTTTCTTTGTCCTATTTTATATGATTTTTGAAGAGTTAGGGGCAGTTTTTTATTTGATTATGCCTTTCTCGAATATTTTTTTATATAAATATTTTAATAAAACTTGAAATCTATAATAATGTAGCCTTTGAGTATGTTACAAACTTTATTTCAAACCATGTCATCGATGTCCCTATTCACATCGAAGTTAGACCTTTATATTCTCATACTTCAAACTTTGTCATTCTTTTTTTAAATAAAAAGACTACGTACGGTACGATGTTATTAGAGTTATTATTATTTTTTCAATGATAAATTTGTACATGTAAATGTAGGTTCAAGTCAAGTCATTGCTCAATATTATGAGCTAATCCGTTTGGGCTATGAGGTAACCCCCAAAAATGACTCATGTGACATTATATTGCAAAAGAAAAACAAAATTAAACTTGTGACTCATGAATATGAAATAGATAACCGGATTAAATCAACTTTGATAAATTACAGGGATACCGAAATGTAATGGAGAACTGTCGCGAAAATGCCATTGTTCTAAGGGAAGGACTTGAAAAAACAGGACGTTTCAACATAGTCTCCAAAGATGAAGGTGTCCCTTTGGTGGCCTTTTCCCTCAAGGACAATAGCCGTCACAATGAGTTCGAGGTGTCCGAGACGCTCCGTAGGTTCGGGTGGATTGTCCCGGCCTACACGATGCCCGCTGACGCCCAACACGTCACGGTGCTTCGCGTGGTGATCCGGGAGGACTTCTCGCGAACCCTAGCAGAGCGTCTCGTCCTCGACATTGTCAAGGTCCTCCACGAGCTGGACACACTTCCAGCTAGGCTGAGCGCCAAATTAGAGGAGGTGAAGCTGGTCAAGAATGGAAAGAAATCTGAACTTGAAGTTCAAAGGGAAGTTACCAATTATTGGAAGAAGTTTGTTTTAGCTAGGAAAGCACCTGTTTGCTAGAGAAGGATTGTTGAAGGAATAAGTAACAAAACTATGATTTTCCTTTTATGTTTTTGGTTATCTTTCCTCCTAAATTTTGTTGAAAAACAAAAGAAATTTTCATAAGAATGATGACGGTAGCAAATTTTTAATGTAATGGGAATTTCTTCTTTGAAGTTCGTTTTTGTTCTATTGAATTTATATTATGTTTATTCACCACTTTTTACTAGGTTTATGGGACTTTTGATCCTTTAGATCTTTGTGTTAGAAATAATCAAAATTTGAAAAAATAAAATTTAAGCAGGCTTGAGGAGTGAGAACGGCTTTCCTTATAGAAGATATTGTGCGTATTTAAATTGGAACACAAACAATCTTCTCAGGATACAACACGTCAAGAATACATTTGCAGATTTTTCTAATCCACTTTGTAGGTAAAAACACTATTATTTATAGCGCAAAAACCAGACCTTTTGGAAGAGTCGTTTCTCAAATTTTAAAATTTTAAAATTCAAATAAAATACAGTTTCTGTTTAAAAAGCAAAAAATATTTATTTATTTTAATGTCATGTCCAGCACGTGCCCAAGCTCCAAGTGCAAGTCCAAGTCTTTGATATTTTTTTGGTGAAAAAAATTTATTATTGATTGCCCAAACAAAATACAATGTGTTTTCCTCTCTGTTACAATATGCCCTATCTCCTCATCCTAAATATACATGTGTAAGAATAACGTATGATATATCTATACAATGTATGTCTCCTGCTCCTACCAGTGTAAATCTTCCATCACTTGCTCTCTCTTCCATTACCTCTTCTGCCCGGTACCTCTTGTATACTGACTTTCCTTTTCAATTTAACCTGTATGTTGGGATATATACTATTAATCATGGATTTGATTTAGATATAATATTTATTATGATATAATTTTTCATTCAATTTTAATAAAGTTTTAAATAGATCATATATTAGTCTGTGTCATTTGCTTATATAGTAGATGATTTAGTGTATAGAGTTTAGCTTATACACATAAGATTAAATTATCGGTTCTTATAAGTATAAAGTTTGAGTTCACAGTCTAATGATGGAATTGGACAAACTAACAGGAATGATTGTAGCGCAAGATTAAATATAATTTATCTTAATTATGGGAATGGTTTAATTCCAACTTCTTGTGCTAGTACATTTTGTATGTATTGAACGGACCAAGTAGAGATAAGTATTTTATACTGACTTAATAAAATAAACTCTCTAGCCATTAAATGTACTTATACTCTTAATCTTGATATAATTATTATTAGTTGTGTATATTATTATTGTTTTGATTTATTAAAAGGCGAGATTCTTTCGTGGGTCAATATGCATAGTAAATTGGACAATAATAATGTACATTGGCGAAGTAATAGTTAGTTGATGGAATTCATGTCTCAGTTTAGAGATTGATGATACACCTTTATGAAAGCTTATAAGTTTTCATGTATAAACCTGGCCGGTGGATTTTGCATCCGACACATGAAATAAGTTAAGCGAAAGTCTAAAGGAAATAATCAATAAATTAAATCGTCAGTAATTTAATTTAATTGATTAGTACCTGAATCTTAACATAGGGAATTAAATAAGATTTAATGGATGAATTTCGAAATTGAATAAGGAGTGCAATTACGAATTTTTAGTGGAATAATTCGTAATTAATTATGGTAGATATTGATTTCGAAAATTAGAAATTAATTCCATAATTGGAGCTTTGTTAATTAAATTTTGTGGTCCCTACTGTGCCTAAATAATAGGATTTTAATGTTGGAAAAGAAAATCCAATAGGTTTTGGAAAAGGATTTTAACCCTTAAAACTTGTGTTATAAATACATAAGGTTTTCCGCCTAGAGGGATGAGAAAAAGGGGGCAAAAATTTTCAGCCTATTTTCCTAGAAATTTCGCCCACACGAAATCGCTATTTCCGGGTATTGTTTGGGTAACACAGTAGAAGACCGTGGAACGTTCGGAGATCGTGATCGTGCGGGTGGTTGAGATTTCATTGAGTTGCTGTGGAATTGGAGGCTCACGTGATAGAGAAGTTTTTTTCACGCTTCAAGAGGTAACACGTGAAATCCCGTTTATGCTAGTTGTCTAGATTACATGTGATTTTGATACTGGGATTGCTTCCGCTGCATATAATAATCTACCAATTGGTATCAGAGCTCACTCACATCTAATTAGATAACTAAGTTTTTCATGAAACAAGAATATAGTGTTTATGTGCGTTTTTGAATTACATGTATACGTGGTTTTCTGAAAAACTGCACTGCTGTTTTGTGAATTAACTGTGCAAAAAATTTGAATTATTCTTGTAATCATGAGATATCTGTTTTTTATTGATATTTGATTGGGATGATCTGGATATTTTCTTGGTAAACCCTAGAAAAACACAAAACCTGATTTTGACAGAATTGCCGGTATTTTCGGAGGTCAGCAAACTTGACGGACTCCGATTGAGCTGAAATTTGGTGGGTCTATAAAAAACGACGTGGTGAGAAAAACTCATTGATTTTGCAGTGAATCATGGTGTTTTTCGGCGTTTTGAGGCCTATTGGACTGTGTTTTGGATATTTTTCTATTTTTTGAAAATTATTTTTTAATAATTTTAATTTGTTTTTAATTCAATGGTGGTGGGGGTGACTACCCATGGTCTCCATGATTAAATACTGGTGATATAATAGGTTTTCACATTGGCTATTAGTAAATAGACGTGTTGTTATATTAAATTTAATAATAGAGGTGTAGGATTTTATTAACTAGGTCTTACAAGGTATAATTGATAATGTGTGATGATATAATTATTTTGTAAGAAAATAAAATCCTCTGTTTTATATCCTGGATGACTAATGATTGGAGCGTTTGGCATATTTGTGCATAAAAAATTTCTCAAATTTTAGTTTATGTTTTCATACCCTAAATGATTACTAGTCTTGGACTTTCGATGATAAATTTTGTTCTCTGGTTGGAGGTTGTGATTAAGTGAAATATGACAGTATTTTGTATGATTTTTATATTATTGGCATGGCTTTTAAGCTGTGGTCCATAATCTACCATAAAATAATTTTATAAGCTATATGTATCTTCACTCGTAAATTGAGAATTTTGTGAGTAATAAATAGTTACCGCAAAAGTGGTTGTTTATTTGAACTCATGAAAAATTCTTAATAAATTTGTACATGTGAAATTGTGTCTATTCATGGATTGAGCATTATGATTAATAAGTAGGTTCCACAAAATTGTCTATTTATTTGAGTCATTAAAATCTGCTTCATGTACCATGTGAAAATTATCCTTGATAAATCTACATTAGTGGTGGAGGTTCTTAACTAGAAAAAGAGTTTTATCTTTGGGTACTAGTGAGACCAACTCCACCCATGAGAAGAAATATTAAGTTTTTCGCCGAACGGGAGAAAATATAATATCTTAGGTTCTTGTGTATTTAATAAAAGGATAATTTATTGTAAAAGGAGATATTATGTATCCTATAAATAGGAAGAACATAATTATGTCTTGAGCTCATAGTATAATTATAGGAGAATGGAAATCAATATCATATTTATTTTAATTCATGAAACTGCTTAAAACGGTTATTCTACGAGTTTGGTTACAGGCTGGTGGTCATGAATTTGACGGACTCCAATTGACCTGAAACTTGGTAGGTTCATCAAAAACGATCTAGTGAGAAAAACTCACTGCTATGCAGTGTATCGTGCTATTTTTCGGCATTTTGAGGTCGTTTAGATGGGTTTTCAAGCAGTTTATTAAATTGAATTTGTTATAAATATGAAAAAAATTATTCTTTATATACCGGTTATATTTGTGTTAAATCTGAAACATGATGATTTAACTTGATATGATATATAGCAAGAATGCAAATCACATGGATTTAATCCTAAATACGCCAAAAATAATTTATTCGAATTTGGTCAAGTTTTTGGCGATCGTGAATTTCATGATCTCCGAATGACCTGAAATTCGGTAGGATCATCGGAAACGATCAGTTAAGAAGAACCCACTGCTATGCAGTGAATCACATCGTATTTTGACGATTCGGCATCGTTTAGATGAGTTTTTTTGGAGATTTGGTGGATTAAAATATGATTTACATACGAAAAGTCATTCTTTCTATCATTTCATTATGTCTAATCAGGAACATGATAACACATGTTTATTTGACATGAATTGGTATATGATAAGAATGTAGGTCATATTTTAAATTCTTAAAAATGCTTAAAATGGTAATTTTCTAAATTTGGTCGCAATTTTTGGAGATTATGATTTTAACGATCTCCGATTGATCTGAAATTTGGTAGGTTTATCAGAAACAGCCCAGTAAACAATACTCACTGCTTTGCAGTGAAAAACGTTAATGTTAGCATTTTAAGATTGTTTAAATGGGGTATTGAGTATTTTGTTAATTATGAAACTTAATCCTTAGAGAAAGTTCGTGGTTGTGATAAAGTGGTGATAGGAATTAACCCCTATGATCTCCATTTTTTATTTATAGTGAGATAATAAATTTACGCGTTGACATTAGGTCTTCCTCCATATCGGATAAATTTATTATGAACTCACTGGATATAATTACTAGTTATTGATAACCTATATTAACTCTCTATCTGAGTTAAAGGGTTGAATCAATTTTATAACTAAATTACAATCATGATTAAGTAGTGATAGAAATATATTTCTATGGTCTTCCACTATTAATTTCAAGTGAGTAATAAATTTACGTGTTGACTTTAGGTCTTCCTCTATATCGGATAAATTTATTATAAGCTCACTAGGTGAAATAATAATAATTGATATCGTGCACTTACTCTCCATCTGAGTATACATGTTGGATCAATGGAACTAGAGCTATTAATTATGATGTTCACTTGACTTAAATTAACAGTATACTCTCTATCTGAGTTAGGTCTGTTTTAATTATTGGAGTGAATAATTTGGCATTACATATGTATATGCATGAGTAGTTCTTTTCCCATCGAAATTGCTATTCAAGATGCATGGCATATATGTGTAGTGTGTTTAAATTTTCGTATTAAAAGGTTATATACAATTGACTGAAAATAATAGTATACTCTTCATCTGAGTTGGTTCTATTTATTTTTGGGTTGTATAATTCTTGCATTATATAATATACTTTGCATGAATGATTCTTTTCCCATCGAAATTTATTATTC